CTACTACAACATTTACACTGCAGTCTGATGGATGGGTACCAAACATTTCTGAATTCAAAGAAACTTGCACATACAAGAAAAGTGCATATGAAGAACACTTGACTTTCTTAAAATACAAAATAGTGTATTGCAGTTGACAAGTTAAGAAGCATGTGATGTTGAGTTTAATCAAAACATAAAAATAGTGACCAGCACTCCTTATAGAGCTCATAAGACTAAACAGATAGCAAATGATTGATTTCCCCATGCAGTTCCTTTTACAGATAGAAAATAAAATATTTAAGAGTAGAAAGTGCATTAAAAAAATCATTGATCTCGCAGGGTACATACATTTACTTTTTGTTACATAGCTGCCTTTGATCAGGCAGGCTTTGCAGGTTTTTGTAGCAGGTAAAACCTGTTTCCTAGATACAAGCTATTGGATTAGCACACACATCATTATCAGTGATCCCTTTCTCAAAGTGCCTTTAACTTTCTGAATCAGTGATTATCTTTATCTTCTTTTATTTTTACATGTTTTCAAATTCTCTTGCAATGGTGGTGGAGGTGTGAATTTTGCCACCGAACCAGCTGGATGGATACAAGTCACATGTTTCTTTCACCCCAGAGGTGATTTCATATCACTTCTGGTTTAATTTTTGACCCGAAATTGGTCATTTCATATTTTTTCACCCACATTGGGTAGATAAAGAAATTAAACAAACCAAATTTTAAATCTATTTTGCTGTGGCTTGAACACTTCAGGGGTGACTTTGTGCCCTCAGAAGACTTTTGGAAATTTTGGGAGGGTCTGAAGGCTTTTGAGGTGTCTTTGGGAAGCTTGGGAGAATTGGGAATGTCATGGGTTGCACTATCCATAAAGGAAGGGGAAAAGGAGGTTACTTTTCTTGTATCTATCTCATTTTATCTTGGATGCTCTGTTTACATACAGAGCTTGAAAGTTTTTCCCCTCAAAGCCCCTCCAGTAATGGATGCCCCCTTCCTTATGCTATTCAAATCTTGCATGCCTACTCACTCTACCACATGAACACTTTCTGTTTGTGCAATATGTGGAAAGGGTTGAATTTGTTGTCTGTGTTGCATGTAAGATTTAAAGGTTAAAGAGTATTTCAGGTGGTGGGAAGGTAGCTCCATACACTACCAGTTAGAAGGCATTATTCCACTCTGTTGGAAAAAGAAAAGTATGAGCTGAGAGTGTGGTTGTCTGAAACTCCAGAAAACATAATGCATGATGTTGGATAGTGCTATGATCATAGTCTCAACTAAAACTGCCCTCAGTCCTGTCCGGATGACCACCCCCAAAACATATTTCTGAGCAGAGCTCTTAGAACTTTCCCGGTGCTTAATATACTGCTTTCAACATTGTAGTGCAAGATTAATATCCCAAATGATTATAAGTGTCCTTGGATAAATGTAAAATACTTCTTAGCTGACTCATGGAGGAGATTGTGGCTTTACTGCAGCTTCTAAATGATTGAATGTTTCTTGCAATTTGACACCGCTGAGTGCTGAAAAAGGGCTACCTCTGCCAATGTAAGTTGAGACCCTCTTGCACTGATAGGACATTGTACTCCTAGTTCCTGATCAACACTTAGATGCAGTGTGTGCGTAACAGTTGCATAACTTCATTCCAGGAAATCATTTACAGTCCTTATAAAACTGGGTGTTTTCCTGAGATTTTTGACTCAACAGTGCTCCCATACAGATTTTTCAGGCATTACTGTGGTGTGCAAGCATCTCAGTTTACTGAGCGTATTATACTGGCAATGTAAACTATTTAGATTAATTCCATGTGTGAACTCTGCATCACGTGCTTATACCAAGGAAAAGCAAATAATCATTATTTCAACCCGTAGATGTAAGAACAGAGGGGGTAGGTGTGTGGGAAGCAGCCACTATACAGTTCTCAGGTTCTCATTGATCTGAAGTTAAAACAGACTCAATCAATTGTCTGAGAAACTTCATCTAATGTGAAAGGCAAACTTCATCTAATGTGAAAGGCAAGCACTTAGTTATGTGATTGAACATAGCTGTACGGTGCTAGACAGCAAGGAATTACCACACGTCTTGGCCCAAGTCCTGGTCACTTAGAACTCCAAAACTAAACATATTTATTCCTTATTATAGAGGATGAGTACTGGGATTGCCATCTTTGTGTGTAAGGAAGCATGTTGTGACCTGTAATGTCATCTGCCATTCAGAGGCACACAAAACATACTTGCCTTCCTTTGATCTTTTGATGTCAGAAACCACCTAGAGGAGGAATAGGCAACTGCAGTAGACTAGGAGACAACTTTAGATAAAGGTTGTCCTCTGACGTTAAGTCCAGTCATGTCTGACTCTGGGGGTGGTGCTCATCTCCATTTCTAAGCCGAAGAGCCAGCGTTGTCCATAGACACCTCCAAGGTCATGTGGCCAGCATGACCGCATGGAGCGCCGTTACCTTCCCGCAGGAGCGGTATCTATTGATCTACTCACATTTGCATGTTTTCAAACTGCTAGGTTGGCAGAAGCTAGGGCTGACAGCGGAAGCTCACGCCGCTCCCTGGAATCGAACCTGCGACCTTTTGGTCAACAAGCTCAGCTTCTCAGTGCTTTAACCCACAGGGCCACCGGGGGGCCCCCGGGGGGCCCCCAGGAGGCAACTTTACCTACTCTTAAAAATGAAACAAAACAAACAATAGTTTGCCTCATGGAAATATGCTTTGGGCCCCTACAGAGCGTTTTTTTTGGGGGGGGGGGGTGTTTCTCCAATAATTTGTTTTTGGTCTGGGATTCCAGGGAGTCTCCAAGCATGGTGCAAATGACCTCCATACTTTTTAGAGATACTTTGGGGACATTTTGGAAACAGAAGATTTGAGGGGGGAATCTTGAAAAACCACAAATTATTTTTAGGAAGCCTGGGGTGTGTGGGCTGCTCTTTGCCTATTTCTGATCTGGGGCTTTGCTGATTGACAGGCAGAAAAAGAAACAGACAGAAAAAGACAATAGCTGGGATTGTTGTAATTCAGGTGTTTTTTTTTTTAATCACATGATGCTTATCTTGTTCTGGTAAATCCAGATTATGTTCCTGACATTACCTGGGTTATAAATCTCAACATTACACATGGAAATAGTTCTTTTTCTTTATGTGTTTCCATAATCTCCAAAATGTTGTCTTTATCATATAGGCATGTTGTTTCTAGTGTCATGGCATTGATGACACAAATGTGGGTTTCTCCTTTTTTACCCAACTCTTCTCTCCTCTACTTATTTTGTCAGATTGATATCCAGTTAGAATAATCACCACTTGAATAATGGACTGTAATTTGGTTCTGGGCTGGAGGATTTTTGAACAGAAGTAATATGATTGAGATTGAATCAACATACCATATAGTAACCCTACTTTGACTAGTTTTTTCCTGCCATAAGCCTCCATGAGGGTATCCCACATGAGGGTATCCTTTCCAAACTGTGATATTAAGGAAATGCTTGCCTTCAGAGTGCCTTAGGTGACTGTTATCCCAGAGGGATCCCAAGGCAAAAATGTATAGAATAATGTTCACTTCAAAATCATGTTAGTAAGGGTTGTAAGCAAATGGGTGGTGACATATGATCGCTTCCCATATTTTGGATTTGCTCATGGGAATGTGTGGCTCTCTCACACAGCGATTCTTGGTGTAATTGGCAGAGTTGTTAAGGTTTGTGAAATCTGAAAAATGAACTTTTTAAAAAATCTATGTAAAAATGAGGTAAGGAATTAGCTGTAGGACATGTTTGGCTTTCCATTCAGCTTAGATAGCGTATTCAATGGTTGGGGCTGATGGGAGTTGTAGCCAACTAGAGTGCTAGATGCCCCAAAACCCTTGTTCTAAGCTTTGAGGAAAATTACGGTGGACCATGTTCTTGGCTAGAGTAGGGAAGAAAACATTTCCTTATAGTATTTTTTTCTTACGTTTTAAAAAGCAATTACTTAAGTTCATATCTATAGTTGGGAAAATGGAAAGGGAATCAAGACTGAGTTGAGTTCTCTTAACAGCTTTTGTTATTTCTCTGCTATTTTAAAAATAATAATACCATCTTTTGTTCCATTTGTGTGCCTTTGTTATTTGATAGAGTTGTGATTCCCCAGGCTATGGCAATGAATCGATAGTTTTATTTTGAGATGAAGTATATTATTATCTCACCTTGGATAAATACTTGAGAGTTGCCATCTTATACACTCCTGTATACTGAGGTTATGAGCTCTTAATCTGAGGAGCAAACGTGGGGGCAAGCAAATGGTTGTGTGTTTTGTGAAATTTTCACTTCTTCATTTTGTTAGGAGTCCTACAATTTTAATTTTTAGTTTAAAATAAGACAGTGCCCAGTTTTCAACATGTTTCAACAAATGCATGTTTATCCTAATGTATGCTTAAACTCTTAACTCGCACTTAAACAACTGTAATGTTAGCCACCAGTAATTCAAGCTAAATCAGCGTTTTTGTAAAATATATTAACAGTAGACGTATCATTATACAATTAGCAAAATGTGCACTACCAGTACACCCATTATAACTAATTCCCACTCTCCATATCTAAAAATAATAGGCATGAAATAAAAAACTAAAAATTTGAAATTGACTTCCCACATTAAAGACATATGATCAAATTGTTATCATATTGCTAATTTTTAATTTTAAATAATTTCTCTATTATTTCTTGCAATCTCAATATTTTACATAATCTTCATTTTCACATTTTATTTTTTTCTTCATGAATAATACAAATTGTTCCCTTTCTTTGAAAAAAAAAAGGTCAACTGACTTCTTCTTTGTCAAACAAGAGAACTTATTTATTTCTGCCAGTTTAATACCTTTTATAATATAGCTTTCTTTTGAGGGTAGTTCTTTAGCTTTCCATTTTTTCACATAAAGTATTCTTGCTGTATAATCATGTAATGATTACTGGAAGTCCCAGTAAAAATCTCCAATACTTTGTCACATGAATCTTGATTGATTTTCCAATGTGTCCCTTTCTAGATCAGAGTTGGGGCTATTCCTGAAAATGCTACAATCAAGAATAATGAATTAAGATTGAAAATTGAAGAGATACTTGAAGAATCAAAAGGAGACTTCCTGAGAGTTCTACCAATTGGTACAATGAAAAGCTAGAGTCACAATCAAAAATGAATGTTGAAGATACAGAAGTAAAGGACTTGCAGCCTCCTTTAATCATCAAGGATGAAAATGGCAATAAATGTGTATGCAACACAGTGGCTGTGAATGGAGGTACTGTTAGCCACCACCATGTGGAAGATGAAGACTACATTAAAGTTAAGGATGGAAGTGAGACAAAAAACACTTCTCCGTATTCTCAGTGCATTGAAGCACGAGACCAGCAGAACATTGCCAGTGACTATATCTGCATGGGGACTTCAGATGTAGAAACTACACATATCACTTCTCCAAAAGATCCATTTTACATGTATGCCTTGAATCAGACTTTCTCAGAACCAGAGAGCCTTCTCAAAGACAGTCCTGCATTAACAGACACCCAGGGTTGCAGTACTGAGGAATCTGTGCCTTACTGCCAGGCAGACTTCATGCATTCAATGCCTGATGGAACTGTGGAACTGAATGCAAGTGCTGACTTTCAAGTTGGATTAGCTTGTACCCAAATAGAAGAGGAATGTTCCAGTCTAGATGGGTCTTTCATTACAGTTATAAATCTGAAGGATACAATGAGAACTAAGTGTCATGAGATAGGATATGCTTCTAGGGAAACTTGTGCAAGTGTTCCTCATGATCACCATGTTGGATCCCCTAAGCTAAATGCGTTCAACAGCTCCAATATGACAGGCACCTACAATGTAGAAAGGAGAGTACTTCCTACTGCTCTTTCAATAACAGGAGAAGAGGTCACCAATTATATTGACTTGGTATCACAAAGCAGTGAACAACACAAAGAGCAAGAAAATCAGGACACTGAATGGCCTGAACCTTGTTGTATGGAGTCATCTGAACTGGGACAATTTAATGTACACAAAAATAAGTATAGGAAGTATATGCATAGTACGCCTGAGCATGATGAAACCAAATGGTCATCTGAACCTGGAACCATCAGTGGCATGGGCCCACTTGCAATTCAGAGTTTCGATGAACATTTGGAACAGGAGTTTTTTGAAGACAAAGGACTCTTGACCAAAGTACACAGTATTTTAGAAGGAGATTGTGCTTTGCTAGATGGACATGATAACATGCCTGGAATGATGCAAAATGATATACCAAAGTTAGAAACCATTGTTCCTCCTGAACATAATTGTCAAACAACTTTTGTGGTTTTTAGTCCTACAAATGAAGAAAACTTGAGCTCTCCTCCTGCAGCAGGGTCAAAAAATGAAACCTTTGCTGTGTTTGCCACGCCAGAAGACGTTGGTGATGAACCTTCTAGTTTTGGAAGGAATGTCCCCTTGGTAAAAGAGCAAATCAGGACGAGTTCACTCAAAAATAATGGCGAACGAATTGCCATTAAATCGACAAACCGGTCTCCCCTTACAGCTACCATAACCAAAGCTAGGAAGGCAGAAATAGTGAGCTTTCCAAAACCAAACTTTAAAAACATTAAGCCCAAAGTGATGTCCAGGCCTGTGTCTCAATCAAAAGAGACCACTCCATTGAAAGCTGCTCAAAGATCTCCTCAACCGTCTATTGCTTCCTCATCCTCCCCATCTTCTTCCCCAAGGCAACCACTGTCTTCAGTTGCAGTACTGAGGAAAAAACCCGATTTGGATAGAGGCACAAAAGCAGAAATACCATTGAATAAGACCCATAAGCAACACCTTAATAAACACCTTCCTAGCCAAGCTCTGCATGCTGCAACTCATTCTGAAAGCACTTCCCACAAGGCTCCAAAAACAACAGCATTAAAGCAGAACGTGGAACAGGTAGACAGAGCAAAATGTTTTAATTCAGCATGCAGCTCTGTGGGTGTAACGTGCTCCCAGGACTCGGGTGGGATGGCATGCGACAAAATGGAAACTGCTTTAATTAGTTCTCCCATATTTCAAGAGGAGGAGCAACAGAAAGACTGCTTGGGAATTCCAGCACAAGATTCTCTCCCAGACACTCCAAATGAAGTTTTTAGACCTACATATCTTCCTTTGGTAAGTTTTTTAAAACTCTTTATTTTTATTTAACATTTTGTTAGCATGTGTACAGGTGGTAATAGTAAATTGAGGGTTTACAGCATTTATGTACTTAACACAAGCAGTCCGGTAACTTTAAAAAAACTTGATTGAAATAAAAATAAAACCTTGATTTGAATTTGTCTTCAGGCTATGTGTTTAAAACACTGATAATATGCTACAAAACAGGGAGCTTTTTCAGCTTGTCAGCACATAATGATTGTTTCTTTGATTTGAGAGCAAAGGAAAAAAAACTAACATTAAATGTATTACCAATATTGAACATATCTTAGTAACCTGAAGACTACAAACTACATGAAGCTACTTGTTTGCTGCTTGTACTCCAAATAGCAGATAAATACATTCATCATCTTGGGTGGCATTATCCAAAACAAAATCTGCGGTATGAAACTCTCATGCTGCTTGGTGTGTCCTCTTTGAGACAGACCGTTTTCTCTCTACCACTTTTCTTCAGCATCTTTGCAATGGGAAATTAACGCCTGGGTGCAACCTGTGAACTTTTGATATGTCTGTTTGATGAAAGTCTAAGTCAAGAAAATACAGCTCACATTTAATGCTGTAATCTGAACTGTAAATCCCTGCATAGCTGGATTTAGTCTGTTTGAATACCGCTATCAATACAACTTGGATATGTATCCATATAGCTGCCAAAATACTTTTCTGTTCAACATTATCTAGGCTAAAATACTTGACAGTCTAGCACTGGAAACCTTGTTTCACCAAAAGAGGAAACAGCATGTGGAAATGTTGTATCAAACTACTTATAGGACAGTTACTAGTTACAGTGTTTGAAAAATTATCTTCTTTCACGTAATTAAAGTATTACACAAATACTGATTTCAATGAAAGCTCTTAACAGACCCACAGCCCATTTCTTCAAGTCAGAAATAAAGCCTGTTAACTATCTTGAAAAATAAAAAAAACTTAAAATTTTGCAAGCATATTCCAGTGAATGCATATTTATGACTAAAATATACTGTGTTTTTCAAAAATGTATGTTTGTATTGGAATTTGATAAAAGTAAAAACCTTAAACAGATATTTGCAGATTAGGTGGCCAATGGTGATTGTTCTTTCTCTATAGTGATAGCTTCTATCCTAGTGGTATGATGTGATGAAATCTACCTTTAAGGCGACCAGGCCGGAGCCTGAATGTCAGTAGTTGTCATCTTGGAAAGACAAGCAGAAGCAGGAGGAGGAGTCAAGCCGACTCCTGATTGGTTGGAGCAATTAGGGGAGGAGTCAGTTGAGAGAGGGAAACAGGCTGTCAGCTTTTGACAGAGAGAGAAGTGTCTTGACATCAGACACAGAAGGATGGGATTTTAAGATAGGAAGCTAAAGTAGGAATCGGACAGGGAAAGAAAGCTTTAAAGTGAGCCTTAAGAATAGGGAATAAGTAGCAGGCAAGGGCTAGGGTTACTGTATTGAGAGGATCAGTAACAGAAAGACTTGTCTCCTTATACTTAGGGATAGTATAAGGGAGCTTATTGCCCAGTGTGTGAGACTGATAGGGGTCTGTTCTCCAGTGATACTGTTTCTAAGGATAGAGCAGTGTGTTTAAGGAAATGCACAGTTATAAAAGCTTTACTGTCAGTGGAACTACTTGTTTAAGTAACTAAGTCTCTACAACTGAATTACGCTTCTGTACCGCTTGTTATATGAGTTGATGTTTGTTTAAAGTTCAATAAACCTTTCTTAGTTCACTTTTAACTGGTGTATGCCTCAGTCTATCAATCTCCTCAGAACCAAGTCTGTCAAACCCTTTTAAAGTTCAGTCAGCCAGTGAAGAAGCTACAGAAGAGTCAAGGGCAAACACACCTTACCTACAACACATTCACACCTTTGGTTCCTCAGGCCAATAAAGCTGAGGTGGTGGCAGCCATACCTACCAATAACATCGGTCATTTATAATACTATATCATCCCTTGCTTTGGTGGCAGAGGTGGGATTGAAAAGTCTTCCCCCTTGCCAAAGTCAGAAAGGTCAACGCTAATTTACGTTATACTGGTGGTAGTGGTGGGATCGATTGTCTCCCCTGCCAAGATTATCGTTTGATCTACGTTATATATGGCTTGTGAAATATACGCTTCTTCTGTTCCCCACCTTTAGCCAGGGAAAACCATCTTCACCAATTATACCACCAATGTTATTACTGTGTACCTTCCAGGTACTTCCAATTTATGGTATCCTCAAGGTGAAACAATCATGTTTTCTTGGCAAGATTTGTTTGGTAGGGGGTTGCCATTACTGTCCTCCAACACTAAGACCCCTTCTACACTGCCATATAATCCAGTTCAAAGATGATAATCTGGATGTCATATGTCAGTGTAGAAGTAGCCTAAGAGCCTTGCCTAAGATCACCCAGAATGTTTCCGTGGCTGAGCCCTGGTCAAACCTTGGTCTCCTGGAGCCACTTTACCACTCTGGTTTTTTTACTAATGTTTACTTAAAACTATATTATGTACTTGAAAACATATTTGTTGAATAAGAATATGACACAGAATTTTTAGGATGTATTGACTATTACTATGATAAGAAATCTGTCTTGGCTTCATGGTATTCTCAATTTGGTGCATATCTTATAGGGAAAAGTTGAATCATATAAAAGATAAGGAACCAAAAATTCCAGCCTAAGGCTGTTTACAGATGAAGTTGTTATATGCAGTCAGACTGCATGCTGCTACCATTGTCTCCCTAGAATCTCAGGCTCAAGTTCAAGTCCTGTTATCTGAAAATACTGTTGAACCTTGTGTATTATAAAAATCTTCTTTGGAGTGTCTTAAACATAATTTGGATAGTCATCTCTTTGAAATGTTTTAGCTGTATATTCCTGCATGGCAGGAGGTTGGACTAGATCAGTGGTTTTCAACCTGTGAGTTGCCAGGTATTTTGGCCTACAACTCCCAGAAATCCCAGCCAGTTTACCAGCTGTAAGGATTTCTAGGAGTTGAAAGCCAAAACATCTGGGGACCCACAGGTTGAGAACCACTGGACTATATGAACCTTGTGGTTCCTTCTGGTTCTCTATAATTCAGTTATTCTATATGTAATACATGCCTTCTGCTACTGAGCAGAGAGCCTTCCTTACTTGGGATGGTCTAGTGCTGTGTAGATTCAGTCTGTCCTGTGAACCAGAAGGTTTCAAGACCTGAAAAAGACATTGTCATATCTATTTAACTCTGTTCCTTTTCTGTATACATTTAAGTTTAGTAGTCATTGTGTATTTCAACATTATAGATAGTTCATATCCAGAACAGGTTTGTTAGTCTCCAAATCAAAAATAAATTTAAGAACAGGGTGCTATCTGTAACCTTATGAACATAGCTGCCCTGTATTCTTAAATAAGAGCATGTGGGTGTTTATAATTAAAACAAATGTTCACCTGATGTTATACATGGGTTGCATGTTCAGTTCACATATGATCCCATTCTTTTTCAGCAGATTGTGTCTTTAATTTTGTGCATTATAGTAACATTAAGAATATATAAAACTTATGGACTTCTGGTGTAGTCTGATTCACATCTCTTGTTTTTGTTTTTCTACATGACGAATAATATAGGTTTCTGTGCCTAAAGCAGACATAGCACAAGGTCAGACTATATCTAAGGATATCACCCCAAGGAGCAGAGCACTGTCCAAGATTGCATTCCACTCCAGGAGGGGAAGTGAGAGTAAAAATACTCTTGTAACTAAAGCTCCATCCTCTCAAAGAGCAGTTCGATCATCACATCCTGGTGAGAAACACTTTTGTTAATGTGGAATGTGCTATGATATTATGTTACAACTAACATTATTTTGAAATGAATGTCTAGGCTAAATCCTTGCTGCAGGTTGACCTCAGACCATACATGTACATTAAGTCTGGGAATATGGTGTAAACTATTGTCGATGCAAACATCCATTGGGGATCTGTTTAGTCTAAGCTAGTGTTTTGACTGAAAATTATGTAACTTTTACTACTGGAAATCAAACATCTACTCAACATTACTTGTCATTATCCGGTTTTATAACCACTCAGCCCTATTCCATACACACAAAGCAGAACTTGGAAACAAATTATGAAAAAATTGGTCCACCACTCAGAAAAACAGAAGATTCTCTGCTGTTTGGCTCCAGACTTGCTTGCTGTGCCTTCTGCGTCTTACCATGGCATATTTCTCAAAAGTGCTAAGACCCCACAAAGTGGATAGGTCAAGAGATCGTACATCCAATTAGACTGGTTTTGAAAACACTGATGCAATCTATGGGTAGCTCAGTGTATGACGATGTAAGTGATATACTCTCTCCCCCATGCAATCAACCAGTGAAAGAGCCTGGCAAATTATTTCATAAAAGGATTGTACACTAAGGCATGACTGGGCTTACCGGTTCAGACTATATGTGCATGTTTATCCATATGAACACATATGTATCTTGTTCTCACTTCCTAAAGAGATCAGAGAAGCATACACAAAAAGGATGGAAACAATAAAATAAAGTTCAGAGTAATCAAAATATTCAGAAGTGCTCAGAAGACACATGTAAAGAGAAAGTCTAATTGACTTTCTAAATGTCAACAAAGAAAGAACTATATGGATATGGGCATATGGAGCACAGTTGTGGGATAACTTCCACAGAAAAGTAGCGCATGCATTGTTATCTTAATAGCTGAGGACTCTGTGAGAAAAATGGCATTATGCCGTAAGGGGGTCCTTTTGGAAATCAAGTCCCAAACCATTTAAGGCCTTTGTAGTTCAAAATTTACTTTTTGGGTTGAACAAAGAGATGACTAGAGACAGGTAGCCTATATAGTTGGTACAAAAATGAACATCCTGCTGCATCCTATGTATCTTAAATGCATGCATGTATTTATTATGTCTAAAATACAATTGTGAAGACCCTCAATTAGAGCTATGGTTATGAAGTGGGAAAAGAACATAACCCTTTCCCTCTGAGTCATAGTTATAGTAAGACACCTCCCTTCCCTTCTGAAATGCAAGCACACACACAACTACTCTTCATGCCCAATGAGGGAACCTTGCTGTTTTGGAATTTTAAATCATTTATGACTTTTGGCATCCCTAAGTCAAATCTGTTATGATGTTTTCTTGGCATGATGAAATGGACTTAGAGGGACTTGACTTTGCCTTCCCCTGAGGCCGAGTATGTGACTCATCCAAGATCACCCAGTGGGTTTCCATGACTTGAGTGGGGATTGAAATTCTGATCTCCACAGCCATAGCCCAACATTAAACCACCATCTGGGTCTTATCTCCAAATAAAGCTTCCTTGGCCCCAATTGTAGTTTCTGCTGCAGAGAGAATAATAACTTTCAAAAAGTCTTGGTATGTATAGGGGCAGAGGTTAGTTGTTCTTCAGGCTTGAATCTGTTTGGAAGCAAGACGGCACTATGTTTTTAAAAGTAAAGTGCTACTTTTTTTTTGAAATATGTTTTGGACTTTACCTGTGGAACAGGTTAATCAGAAATGTACAATATATAAGGATAGTTGCCATGTGATGACTAGAAATTCTCAATCACCATGCCTGTCCAGTTCCTCTTTAGAGACTGAGTTATTAACAGACTTCTTTCTCTTCCTTTTTTCTCCTATAGTCAGAGAGTACTGCTTGACTAGAAACTAGGAGATGTATATTGCTGCTTTAAGTGACTTATAAATGTTGGGTAATGACATTTCTCTGCCTTTACTCTAAAAGTTTTTGGTAGGGGTGCTGCTTCTGAGAAACTGTTTACTAGTTGAAGGCCACCCAGTGAGACTGCTTTCAACCATTTGAACCTGGTTTTCCTCATGCCCGTGGGCAGCACTAAGCCACACCTCACTATCTCCTGCAGAATTATTTACTTTCCTAGCTAAGGCCACCCATGGATGGAATATCATCTAAAACTGAGTCACAGTTCTGAAGTTATTTCTGATGCAGATGATGGTTCTGGTTCCTAGTTACTTATTTGCGGAAGACTTTGTAACACACCTCACTCACTCAACTTATTCACTGCATAGGGACCAGGATGATATGCCTCTGTGACTCCAAATAGCTTTGGAGTATTCTTATTGTTGCTATGTGCCTTCAAGTTGTTTCTGTTTTTTGGCAAGATTTGTTGAAAAGAGGGTTCGCTTTTGCCTTCCCTTGAGGTTGAGATAATGTGGTTTCCATAGCTGAGCAGGAATTTGAACGCTTGTTTCCAAAGTTGTAGCCCAACGCTCAAACCACTACAACCTGCTAGCTCTCGGATCCAGCATTGTCACTGAGTTCCAGTTTGAAGACACTCTTGTTTTTCAGATGTGGAAAACTACTGTCTCTACTGTTTGCTTAATTGGGACTTAACAGTTGGAAAATGGACTGTGATTCATCCTTTCTTTTTGAATAAAATTCTAGATATCCTGCTGCAACCACCTCTATATAGGCTCAGAATAAATATTGCTCCCTCTCCCTGGCTTTTGACTGTAAAGTTAGTCTGGACTTGAAAAGTTAACTTTAAAAGAATGCCATCATTATAAAAGCATGCTAATGACTTCTTAGCCAGAAAAACCTGTTTTAATTGGCCTGTTGTTCCCATCCTCTTTATGATGAGAAACAGTCCATGTTTATACACATGCAGACATAAAATAATTTTTCTATTTGGGGTTTGTGCTTTAGAAAAAATTACAAGCTCCCTTGTGATTTGAACATGATTTTTGTTTGCTTAAAAAGATGAGACTTAATTATTTCATGCATTTAATATGTTACATAGTGAAGGTAAGCATATTAACCTGTGAGCTTTTAAGCCTCAAGAACTATAAGAGTAAATTTATTATTTGCAATATGTGTCCACTTTCAGATAAATCTCCTTTCTACTGGTAGAGGTGAGAGAGAAGGCTGTTGGCCTTGAATGTAATGCTTGGAGCAGTTATACTCATCTTGTTTACGCGTGGACTGATACACTTAGCAGCTGGAGCTGGTTTGCATTTGGCTCTTATCCAGATCTCTGGATGTGCCACCACTAGCTATAGAAATCCAGCCTGGTCAGAGGGGGTTATTTGAAAGGTCCTTATTAATCTTTGTAGTAACATTTTGGTACATTGCCATTTCTGTTTCACTGGCTTAATATGGTGCTGCCAGTTTCTTCTCTGGTAACTGACAATGAGGAGTTTTTGGCACTGCTTTCTTTAGGAAGTTGGTGAATCTTGGTATAAACCAAGGTCAGACAGCCATGATCTGGAACAATGTAGGTGCTCCAACTATCCAAATTGAGCAAGAAGAATCCAGAATAATCATTTGTTGGCTCCCTCCTTTTCAGCTGCCTTTTCCTCTTTCTTCCTCCTGTTTCCCTTACTTGTCTCCAACTTCAGTGTCTGTAACCTGGAATTCAAAGTGGGCAGAAGTGGGTAGAATCTTGCCCTTACCTGTAGGGAAGATCCAAAATACTTTTGGTCCCAAGTATTTTGGATAAAGGATACTCAGGCTGTAATGAATTAACACAACAATTCAAGACTCTTTCCTTGCTACAGCATTTTCAATTAAAAGAATACTTTAACAAGAACAAAGTCCTCGACTTCACCAAAAAGGACAATTTCTGGGACCGGTTCATACTAAAAGAAAAGAAAACCATAACAAATATCTATAACTTACTACTCAAATGGGCTATGGAAGCAGAGTCAGTGAAAGAACGCATGGCCAAGTGGGCGGCCAACATAGGAAGATCTATAAAGTTTAATGAATGGGAACAGATCTGGCTCAAAAAGATTAGATACACCTACTCAACAGACCTGAAAGAAAATTGGTTTAAAATGTTTTTCAGGTGGTACATGACACCACAAAAATTGGGATTAATGTATAAGCATGTACAAAACAAATGCTGGAAGTGTGAATTACATACAGGCACATTTTACTACCTATGGTGGACATGCACCAAAGCAAGACTATATTGGCAATTGATACTAAAAATCCTTTAAAAATACTAAAGATAAAGATTCAGAAGAAGCCAGAATACTTCTTACTAGGGATAACTGATGAGGATATCGAGCTCAATCAGAACAAAGACATTTTGTTTACATACTTGATGACGGTGGCCAGAATGGCATATGCAAAAAAGTGGAAATTGAAAGAGGTTCCATCTAAAAAAGATTGGCTAAGCAAGGCTAGTGAAATAAGAGATATGGATACTCTGATTTTTTATCTCAAAGATTCAAAAGGAAAACCTATCAAGAGAACTGATTGGAAACACTTTGACGAATACCTGACTATCAAAGAGGATTACATGAAAAAAGGGTGACAACTACAGTTGGGAAATTAAATACCAGCTGGAATTAGGAAACAGAGCAAGTTAAATTACGAATTGGAGAGAAGCCAAAGATACAGAAAGGAATCTAGTTCAGTATCTGTACAGAACTAATCTGCGTTTTGTGGATCACGTGGAGAAGTAGGATGGAAAGTCATGACCTTACCCCTCTCACTACCCTTCCCTCACCCCCACCCTTCCCAGGCCCTAATTTTCCTCTTCGATGTTTTTCCTAAGTAGGTAAACTTCTACACCTTCGCCATGCCCTTCCTCCCCTCCTTCCTCCAATACCCCGCTCGATCTCCCCCTGTTTTATTTGTATAATAAGAAAACCATTTAATAAAAAATTATGAAAAAAGAAAAGAAAATGTTGGAGGTCATTCAGTACATTTTGAAGCCCTATAAATAAGAAATCCATTGGCATTTCTACTTCAAAATGGCACACCTTTCAATGGTCCCCATTTACCAGAGACAATCCTGATT